TACCAGGGGCTTCTTGAACCTACGACCCCCCCCCCCCCACGGTGACCCACTGAGGGCTTCATACCCCTCACTCGTTCAGGACCTTTTAAGATAAGCATGGTATTTTCCAACTGATTTTAAACTGATAGCTCAGGTACTGGTCTAACATCAAAGTTAGGTTAGCTGACAGAGGTTGAAATAGTTAAAAACCTGTTGTATAACTCCACCATAAACAAATGTTTACATTATAATATCAGTATACTAACAAAAGTATGTTCAATTATTTTGATAATAGCATAAAACATAGTCAGGTTAAAATACTGTCATAACATCAGAGCAACAAAGATATGTAAAATCAGCGTTTCCACGAGTAGGGGTTGCCAGGGGGTTAGCCCCCCTAAAATGTCATTGGCAATCTCTCCAACTAATTTCATAGATTTGGTCCCATTACATGTTTCACTGGAAAACACACACAGATAAGAAAAGCTGGAGCAGGGACTGTGTTAACCCATTAACTGCGGATGAGAGAAATATCCGTCAGTCGCACACACATATATAACTATAACTCTATGCAAATGACGAAAATTACCATTTTATTGTGATTGATGGCAACTCAGTTTTATCTGCGACTGAGCTGCTCCTGCCGCAGTTAATGGGTGAAATAACTGTAGCAGTCCAACACCAAAATTATGTTCACGTGTTCAATCAGAAATTTATCAACAATATTATGAGGATTGTTTTATCTCATTAGGAATATCTAAGCTATACTATATTGAAAGGTCAGCAACATTCATTATGTATTAATGCAATTATTTCATGCAATTACTAAGATTACTTCACAGCATTAATAATGGGTTATTTTCAAAGATGCAAATTTTAAAAGCCATTTATATATGTGAATTAAAATGTCTTATTAGTATAGCGGCAGCTTTACGTTTTTAAACAGCTGTCTGTGTTCAGTAAAACATGTTCTGACGAAGGATATGCAATCTTTATACAAGCCCATACTCTATTAACATAATTTTAGTCACTATACAAACATGATGCAAGCTCACATAGTGTTAAACAGCTGTCTGTATTCATCGTCTCCTTTGTTTTCACTGACTAGAATGTCTAATTTATCTATCAGCTCAGATTCCACCTAAAATAGTAAATTATGAACTACTGTTAGTTGTTATTAAAAAAATCTGAATATATCTGCATGCACATATTTCAAACAATAATTAACTTAATGCTAGATACAATTATCTTTTAAGTTTCCCTCAGTTAGGGTTAGTACAGCTGTTAAAACATTCTAATATATCTACCGAATACTAAGTTTTCAAACAATAATAATGATGATGAATTTAATTTTAATGTAATTTTCGTTTGTCGTATAAATCATAGTAAATTTTACATTTATCTACTTAAAATTTCAGTTTAAAGTAAAACACATACAGTTTTTTTCAATCACTTCATTTCATATAAAACATTGAATTTTTTTTAATTCTTTCATCTTTCATTAAATTTTCAGATATGTAATCTTAAAAATCATTTCATAAGACTAAAATAACTATCTGTACCTGTTTAAACAAGTATAGCATTCTACTATTTATACCTGTTTAAAGTTTCCCCGGGTTTTCTGTTCACATTCCATCATATCAAAGAAAATAGGTAAGGTAGCTTTTCTTAACTCCATTTCTGGAACAAGTGTTACTTCCAAAAATGGTCCAACCATGGCAGGGATGAAGAACACTTTATGGTCTCCTATTCAAATGAACCAATGTTACAAATTACTGTTGGCTCAGTCTTTTACTGGTTATCGTATCAACTCACACAATATTTACTTCTTCATACACAACATCTCAAGTGTAGTGTTGTTTCGTACAAAGAATTTTAACCGTGAGAAATGAACCAATGTTACAAATTACTGTTGGCTCAGTCTTTTACTGGTTATCGTATCAACTCACACAATATTTACTTCTTCATACACAACATCTCAAGTGTAGTGTTTCGTACAAAGAATTTTAACCGTGAGAAATGAACCAATGTTACAAATTA